CCTGCCTCTCGGCGAGGCTCGGGGCCGCGTCCTGCGGAGCGTTTTAGGGGCGCGGGGACAGGGCGCGCTGATGAACGCGGCGCGTTCGCGGAGGCAGGCCGTCCCAGTCCCTTTGGGGAGGCAACGTTGGGTCGGGCCCAGGGGTTTCCTCCTGCTGCTCCTTATCTCTTTCCTCAGCTGCTCCTGGTTTCTTGCTCGTTTCCTCTGCTCCAGCACGGGGGGGCCTACGGGCTGTGGTCTCCTCGGGGTGTCCCTGCTCTGGCGTGGGTCCCTTGGGGGAGCGGGTGGGACGGCTTGTCGCCCCTTTGGGACCGGCCCTGCCCTCTGAGGGGTGCTGGTGATGGGGTCCAAGGATTAGGGGGATGCGGCATTGCAGACGAAAGCAGGCGCAGTCAGAGAGATGACAGATAACGCACCTCGTCTGTGGCCCCTGCTCACGGTCAGGGTTAGGAAGAGGCTTGCTGGCGTGATCACAAGGTGGACAGCAAAATGCCTGTCCGACCTGTGCGTGTTCTCCTTCCACATCTCCTCGTCCTGCCGTGTACGATTCCAGCAAATTGCCTCAATCCGTTTCTGATGTGACCCCAAAATACGGATTATCAGCACAGAGTGGGAGGCCCTGACAGGACACGTGTAAAATGCCCGCTTTACTGGAAGTCAGATGATCTCATATCTTTTCTCCAGACCTTTGACAGAAAGATGACAAGCATGCGGTTACTTAAATTTTTCCATAAATTTTGCATTTGAGGTGGATTTGCATGCTTATGAAATTTTCCAGACATGAATCCCAGTACTGCAAAAGCAGCCAGTTTGGGAATGGCTGCAGACAGACTAGAAATGGTATAATCTATTAGAGATTTCCTTCATTATCCCTCTAATCAAGGCTTCTATCAGTCTCTTTGATGCGCTGCTGGAAAAAAAGATCTTCAAGTAAACTGATGCTGGAGATAATTAATTAACTTGCTGTCCTCCTGCCTTACAGACAGGGATGCTATAAGAAAGAAGTGTCCTTTGTAATTACTGACTGCCGTTTTCCATCCTAGCGCTGACAGCTTGTAGGACATGAAGTGGAAAAGCATTTTACCAAACTTTCAGGCTTTGGCAATCATTCCTTCAATTTAGAATATTTTCTTCTGCTTGTATTTCTCATGCTATTGGATAACAGTCTTGCTGATGAAAAATGCTTTTAATCCATGAGCAGTTTAAGCTGTATGTAGTTTTGACTGACAAGGTTATCTTCCTTATGCTTTACTCACTGCAAATACCCCCAGCTCTGCCATCTTCAGATGCTTGTACCTGAAATCCACCTGTATTAGGATAGAAGAGAAAATCCAGAATAAAAACTGGTTCAGTGGAGTAATATTGATGTTGCCGCAGCATTCTGCTGGGCAGACCCCAGCATTTTTCCTAGGGGCTTGGCAGTGGGTGAGGGGAATGATCTCTGGTTTGGGAACCCAGCTTTTTCATGCAACCAAACTTCTGTTTCCAAACGCCCGTGAAATCTGAGTGAGTCCTGTAAAGACACGATTTATCTTTCTAATGAGTTAAGGTAAGATTTAAATTACGCTGGGCATCTCAAACCAAACCTGGGAAAGTAAGAGGAGGCTCAGTTTACCCAGCTCAATCTTCTTTTCCCTTTACAAAGTATGTCCTTCTCACCTAGGAGTTCCTGTGTTTCCAGCTCTCTGAGCCCTTGAAGAACATTTCTAATTATAAACGAGTCTCTCTCAAATTTCCCATTTTTGGGACTGCTTGAGCAGCGAGACTGGGGAGCTCAGGGCTGCGTGGGCAGACTGGCAGGGCTCTAAACTCTCTGCCGTTCGACACTGCTCAGAGCTGATTCCAAAAACATTAGTATAACACCGACAGCTGCCCCTTTTCCAAAGGAAATTTCCTCAGGAATATCAAGAGTGGGAAGGCTGAGGAGAAAAGTGCATAATATAGGCAAGACTGTTGAGTTTAGAAAGTTTTATAGCAAAATCAGGGATTTCGTTCATTGTCAGTAGCCAGCAGGCAGTATACGCGGCATGGATTTATGACAAGGCATACTGCTTTAATTTGGTTCAGGTCTAACAATTTGTCACCAAAGATTTGTAGGTAAATCAATTAATACTTGTAAGAGTTATTAAATTATTGTAAAAAAGTCAGGGATGGTATTGCTAGAGCAGCAGAAACTTATACTTCTCTCTCTGGAAAAACGCTGTTGACAATGCAATGAAACAGCCTGACAATAGCAGTGAACTCTTACAGAAGAAGAAGACCGAGAACTATAAATCCTGCACCACATTTCATTGCTGATTCATATTTTTAAATACCGCTCCTTCTCTTCCATGTGTTTATGGGATGTCCTCTCATTGCTAGCTTCTGGGGGAGGTACCACAGCTCTACATATAGTAAATAATATCTAACGGCATCATACTGCTTCACTTGCAACAACTGAGGGATCTTACCTCGTTCTCCAGAGCTGGTGAAAAATTGTAACTGGTGAATATGTCCTCTCAGTTTAGCATTTTATCTGCATTTTTTCAAAGTTATTACGAAATTACTGCTTTGGTGAATTGTTTGTGGCCTCTAGTTGGCGTCTGATGAGGTTAGAATGAGGATTAAAAACCTGAAATACAAGCTGTGTTGGCTGGCTTTTGATGAGATGCAGACACCTCACATGGGAGGTGAAAGCACGGTTCCTAGAAACCGGATTGCCGAGTAGGTAATAATGTGTCTGCGTTAAAAACCCTGCTCCCTCCAAAGACTCTGCAACATTTACTCTTGGAAAACAGTTCTGCAGACGTGAACAAATGAATCGATAGGGAAGCAAATGTTTAAAGAATATTTTTGAGGTATTTGCTTGAGTAGTAGGCTACTTTTTTTTTTTTTTTAAAAAAACCTCTAACCACGTTTTTAGAGGCACTTAAGATGGCTACTATTACCGACCAAACAAGTCGGTATAGGCATTGGCAACAAAAGAAAGCAGCTCTCAGAAGCTGATGTTGAAGATTGTGCTGTTTGTGCCCTGAAAGGTCCTGTTCCCCAGCACACTGTGTATCGCCTTTTGTCACCTATCCGCTTCCCCTACTGCTGCTGGGTGACAGGCCAAATGGAAACAGAGGCCAAAGGGGACAGGTGCTTTTGGTAAATGTGGTCACCGTTAGAAAATCAAGGACTTCCCCCTCCTTGACTGACTTACTGGGAAAACAGGGAATGTTTTCCTCTTGAAAAGCCTACAGAAGTGTCTGCTCGTAGCCTTTAACAATTTGAAATTGCCCATTATAAAAGCAACTCTCTCACAAATGGTAATTCCTCATCCTGGCATATAAGTACTGAAAAGCTCCTAATAAATGTCCTTTCTCACACGCTCCTTGCACACAGAACTCTTAAAAAAAAAAAAAAAATCTGCTAATTAATTTTAAGCCTCTTTGTGGCAAAGCCTAAGAACCGGATTTACCAAGATACCAGGGGGTCCATCTGGTGCAAAAAGCTCACTCCCTTGCCAAGGTATTTCTGTTTCAGTGAGAGGGACAGTGTGTTTCAGGCCTAGAAATTTCACATTGGCAGTTGTGTCAGTTGTACTAACCATTGGCATATTTCTTAATGTGTTGGGATGGCGAAGAGTCCTCTACCAGAAGCCAAAGTGTGTTTTTCTGTACTGCTTCCATATGTGGAACATGTGCAAGATGTCTTCTTCTTATGTTATTGCTTTCAAATAATGGTATCAAATTGGATGGTAGTGCCAGGTTTTAGAAGTGGGGTAAAAAAAGCATATTGGGAACCAGTAGAGCTTTGGAAGTTTTTTTTCCTTTCTTTTTTTTTTTTTTTGGTCCAGATTCCCTAGAAACTCTTTTAAATAAAGGTGATTAGGTGCAGCATTGAGTTATATTGCTATGAACTCTACTAAGCATGTCTGCGTTGCACAAAGGCGCACTAGATATCTCTGTAGTTGGGAGGAAATAAAAACAGGATCCCTAATGCCTTTGCCCTTCCCAAGACAAAGCAAGTTTGGCCAGGAAATGCAAAGACTTTGTAACAAAACTGATGGTTTTTACAGTGCAACAAATTCAGACACAGGAACTTCACGGTGACAAAGGACAAGGATGCAGGTCACTCTACTCCCAAAGGAAAAGCTCTTATTTTTCAGCAAAGGAAAAATCAACCAAGCGAAACAGTTTCTGCAACACACGACTGCAAGGCTTGTGTGCAGCGGCACATGCATGTACCCTTTTTATCTGTCCTTTTGCAAAAGTCATTCCTTGCCATTCATCACCTTGGTCACCCTTCCTTGCACAGTTTCTAATTCTGATACATCTTTTTCAAAGAGCTTATTATATCCTTGTTAGTGCAAACTGTCTGAACTCCCAAAAAGATGTGGTTTGGCTTTTGGTCTGGAGAGAGACAAGGGAAGCAGCAGCTCCAACAAGTAGAGCTACTTATTTTAACTGAATCTGTTCCCTTGTGCTGATTAGAAATACGCTTGCTCATGACAGGAGAAGAGTCTGCTGAATGAAAAAATAATATAAAGTGGGTAGAGAGAATTATTCAGGCTTTTAAGTGTGTGCTACGTGCATTGGAGAGTTAAAAATGTAAACATGAAATGCACTGTTTCTCCCCATGTAGGAACATCACAGTCTTCTTAGCTTAACTGCTCTTTGAGACACTTTTGTTCTTTGTTTTCTCTGTCTTTCAGCAAAGAATAACCCTTCAAATAAGCCCTTACCAGAAAACAGCCTTTGAAGAAGTCAAGAGCAGGTAGGGATTTTCACTTTGGACAATATCCATGAGAAATGTTTGCTTGTGTTTTTGACGACGGGCTGTGCAACTGTGTGGGACCTGATCAGGAAGAGACAGACTAGTCCGGCATGGTCATTGCTCGGCTAGAAGCAAGCTTGAAGCAGACCTCTTGGCCTACCCGAATGCTGACATGAGGACCCGTACTCGGGGCCGCGTGTCCAGGTGAGTGCTGGCACAGCAGCCCAGATGCATGTGGGGTGGTGCAATGAGCTCGTTGGGTCATGTAACAGGAGGAAAGCCGCAGTACTCAACTGTAGCGTGAACATGGGACCTGCAATATGTCGGCCTCATGTTCCTCTCCTGTCCTATGTGCAAATGCCTGGAGTCAGAGAAACGCTGAGCGCTTGCAAGGGGTGAGATTCTGGCACGGCTGTGAGTTTGAGGGGCTGTGAGTTTGGGGCAGTTTATGAGCCTTGAATGCCTTATACGAGACTGACAGGTCTGAAGAGCTGGAGATATAAATACAGTCTGAGTGAGATACGCTCGGTTTTTCTTTTCTTCCCTTTTTTGCATGCTTTTAATGAAAAGATTGGGCAGGGAGAAATGCCCCCTTCCAAGTCTGTGCATACGCTATGTGTATAGAGTTAATGTACCTGCAAACGATGCAGGAGTATCATGTTTCTGTGTGGCACCCTTGAGGGGTTTAGCTTGAACACCTGGACTTTGAGAAATTGAATGTTGCAGCGTGTGTCATTTAAATGGTTATTCCAAATGTCTGAAATCTTAACAAGGCTTTTTTGCAAAGATGACCTGAAGTAATTTTCATTTTGTGCCTTCTTGCCAAAACAGTCTGTAGAGAAGCTGAAACTGTTCAAAAACTGGGCATATTGTTAACATTTAAGCAATTAGGCCATATTTTGTTTGAATTTTTAATCCAGCTCCAGCTATCTTTCCTTGGTTTGTGGTCAAGTCTAACTTTACCTTGAACTTCAGTTGTGTGAGATATGTTTAGATGGTGGCTGATTGCATGTGGTGGAGGGGAAAGGAGAGCTTTTACTGGACTCTTTTTTTTAATCTTAATGGGCAAACTAGGGCTGTATGGATCGGAGCAAGGGAGGGTCGTACACCTGGGTGACTGTTTGCCTGTTATATGATGCAAAGTGAGCACCACACCAAATGGTGCTAACTGGGGAGAACGGGCCTGGCAGCTCTCTTGGTGGACTGAACCGTTGTAAGCTGAGAAGGACTGCTGGGAAAAGCTAGAGCAGTTCACAGTGGACATGGAAATGGCCTCAAAAGACCAGAGTCATTAGTCAGCTGGATTTCAGAGCCAGTTAAAACTTCACTGCCTGTGCTTTTCCTTCTAGGACAAAGTTAAGAGGACAAAAATCAGTCATGTAATGGGTTTGCTTAAGGCATATGCTGACTTGCTCTACCCATACTCCAAGTCATCCAGAAATGATGCAAATATGCTTTGGGCAATGCTGACCTAATCAACCTGTTGAGAGACAGAGCTTGAGCTTGGTGCCAGCTTATCACGTTCTTGTTTCCTCAGGAGGTGGGCAAAGCAAGCGCGTGTCTGCCTGCAAAGGGCTATGCTCACAGTCCTGGGGTGATGGGTGCAGTATCAGAGTCTCTGCAGACCAAACACAGGCTGCGGAGAGTGTACCTAGAGAGGTGACAACTTTGCCCACTTTTTCTCAGCTTCCTGTGCCATATTCCTCTAGTTTTTGAGTCAGAAATTTGTCTGTCTTTTGGATAGGGGACCTGCTGTTAAAATGATGGTGTTGGATTTTTATGTCTGTGCCTTACTGAAGGCACAATTATTCATCTCGTTAGCTGGAGATTTGGTTCAGTAATAGGCTGCAAGCTCAGGCTTAAGTTGTGCTCTTCTTAGTGAGACACGCATATGTGTTCAAGTCACTGGGTGAATGTAGTTGCTGAAGTGTTTACATTTAAGTGCATGTGTAATTGCTTTGCCAGTTTAGTTGTAGATGCAGTTGTAGTCACTTGATATAACTGAAAGGAAACAGAGGTTCCTTTTCTTAAAATAACTCTAGGGCCTTTGCACTTCTCTGCACTCTGTTGATTATAGGAGCTGATACTGGAGGCTGCCAAATATGGATCAGAGCTGAAGCCCAAGAGCAGTGCAGAGCTGTCTGAGCGGCTGGGTGAACACTTGCATAGGTGTATCATTTTGGGGTGTGTTTTAGAGCATTTATGTATTGTTTTCAGCTCTGACTTGCTGAGGTCTGACACGGCATTTACCTGCGTTCCTCTTCTTCCAGAGTGCCAAAGGGCAGCAGGTTCCTAGCACAAGCTGGGATGTCACTAAATGAGCAGTAAACGTGCTATAATAAGGCTCCTGCTCATTGCTGTCCTCCCTCTCCTGCAGTCCCCTGGAATGACACGGTGGGCAGACTTGGCAACAGGTCATGTAAGGACAGAGGTCCGAGGGGATGGCCAGATTGCCTCGGCTGTCTTTAAAGGATTTATCCCAAGAGGCAGCTGTCTGGTTTGAAATCCAACCAAGAGCCAGGTGTGATGCAATCTTCCTCTGCTGTACCCAGACACTCACAGGCCATGACTTGGCACCTGCTGAAACTTTTGCATTTAGTTTTCGGGGACGTCCGTAGGTTTCGGACAGGCTGTCAGTTAGCATTTGTTTGCTGACCCCCTGCCTTCCCCCGTTGCAAGGCAGGAGCCAAGAGCAGGTCAGGAATCCTATGTAGACCGGAGAAGCGACGGCAAAGCAAGGCAGGGAAGGAGAGCTTGTTCCTTGAGCGTGCGCTGATAGGAGCAGAGCTGAGGAGACCGTGAATTGGTAGCTCTCTGAGCATCGCTGCCCTGGGTGTGTGTGCGCTCCTTGGTCCTCGCTGCCTGCAGCATGGAGGTGCCAGAGGGTACAAGGGGGTTTTTCTTGCTGAAGGGCAGCACTGAGCTCTAGAGAGCTATTCCTTCTGTAACAGATTAGAAGATGCTGAACGATGAAGACTTGTCTTAATTAATGCTTTAAATAAGGTTACAGCTAGAGCCAAGGAAATAATCAATAGTGAATCATCTCCTCGGCAAATTCAGCTGTTTTCCATTGGTGAGTTATCTGTAAACAGCTTGCAGTTTTCTCCATTCATTCATTATTTAGAATTATTTCCCAAATAATTCCTTCAAATTGCTTTTAGTCTGCAGATTGTTTGCAAGTAGTGTGTTGAGAGTGTTTGATATTCGCTAGTCAAGCTGTGATCATTAGTTTTCAGTGGGACAAGTAGGTCACGTGGCCTCGTGTCTGGTCCCTGAGTGGAGCAGCCCAGCACTTACCATTCTGCGTAATGAATTCAGAATAGCTTTGGGCAAATGTTCTCAGCTCTTCGGGCAGCATTCCTTCTCTCCACAAACAACCTCGTTAGTTGTCCTTCACTACGAGATTTGTCAGGGTAAGAGCTGCAGGAAGGACTCTATGTCCATCTCTTCTAGTGTTTTCCTGAACAAATCCCTATTTATTCTGTTGGTAATATCAATTTGCTCTATCGGTGATATCAGTAGCAAGAGCTTCAAGGTAAGCAAGTCTGAGTAGCCGCTGGCGTTTTCACTGTAATGGGTCTGCTCAGGCCACAGTTAGAAACCTAGTTGTAACAATGCCGGAGGACATCTGCAGCCCTACGTACCCTAGCTTTGCCTTTACAGCCTGAATTAAAGTTCACCACTGTCCAAGTCTGCAGTGGACTGTACTCTGCAGCCAAAGACCAACCCCTCATTTACACTTGTTGCTGTGTCCAAAGCAGCTATGACCCTGCAAGAAAACTACCGGAGCAATTCCAGGGCTCTTTCTGCGTCCCTGGCTTGCAATGTGCTGTTCTCTGCTATAATCACCAGGCCATCACAGCTCCAAGAAGGCTGTGGCAGTTTTGATGATTAAAAGGATTTCTGTTTGATAAAAACTGGAGTGAAACTCATTTCAGGTAGCAGCCAAACAGCTGCTGGATGGTACACAGTTTCATTTACTGCTGACATGAACTGGATTGTTTTAAGCAGAGGACATAAATAGGCTCTGACATAAATCAAAGAAAACACCAGCTGCAGGTCAGCCGCACTCTGGGGATTCACTCCTGGGTATCCGCTAAGAAGCCAGGCGGGAGAAGTCTGCTGCTTTCCCGACTCGCACAGGCAGGCTTTGCTCTGGGTTGTGGGAGGTAGGATTGCCCCGTGCTGGTGGAGTTTGACAAGTCCCTTCCCTCTCCAGCATGGTTATAGCCTGCCATAGGCCACATCTTCAGCACACGCCAACGGTCCTTACCCCTTTGCTCTGGCAGTTTGGCCAACATGTCACTTGACAGCACTGTGCCGGGGGGACGCCTGCCCACAGAGGCTTTGCTGAGACATTTGCCTGTGACCCGGCAGAGCTTCAGGCAGGAAGCCTTACGTAGGCTGAGAATATAGGGAATACTTCTGGGGTCTTGTCACAGCCTCAGTTCCCCCCTCCCTGCACTGACAGTGAATGAGAGCTTTTGCCATCTGACAGCTTAATCAATGGAAAATTGTCTTCAGTTGCTTTGTGGGAGGTACCCCTGTCACTGTCCCCAGGATTCCCACTAGGAAGACTCCTTTGCTTCTCTGAGGTTGCCGCATCACCCGCTCACCACCTCCCTACTGCCAGGGCTAATCACAGAATGGTTGAGGTTGGAAGGGACCTCTGGAGATCATCCAAGTCCAACCCCCCTGCTCCAGCAGGGTCATCTAGAGCACATTTCCCAGGATCGCGTCCAGGTGGGTTTTGAATATCTCCAGGGAAGGAGACTCCACAACCTCTCTGGGCAACCTGTTCCAGTGCTCTGTCACCCTCACAGTAAAGAAATTTTTCCTCTGATTCAGATGGAGCTTCCTGTGTTTCAGTTTCTGCCCGTTGCCTCTTGTCCTGTCTCTGGGCACCACGGAGAAGAGTCTGGCCTCATCCTCTTGACACTCCCCCTTCAGATACTTGTACACATTGATGAGATCACCTCTCAGTCTTCTCTTCTCCTTTAGTCACCTCCTTCAGTCTTCTCCTTAGCCTTTCTTCATAGGAGAGGGCCCGGAACTGGACACAGAACTCCAGGTGAGGCCTCACCAGGGCTGAGTAGAGGGGCAGGATCACCTGCCTCGACCTGCTGGCAACACTCTGCCTAATGCACCCCAGGATACCCTTGGC